TTATAGGTTTTTGTTGAAAAAAAAAACACGTGGGTCTCTCATTGAAAATTTTAGGACCGACATACAGCAGATCCATGAAATCATCCCATCAAAATAAGTACCTCGTTTTGGACCATGGTGACATCTACATAAGTTTCCCATAACATCACCCTGCTAAATACCCTCATAATACTTTAAGTATTTGCATTTTTAATTGCTCTTGACCACTTCTGATGATATTCTCTTTTAAACATTTGCAGTGAAATGAATTTTTTGTTCTTAGTCCTTTCATATCATTCTTCTTTCATTATCCTGATAATGATTTAGATAGTACAGCTGATTTTTTTGCACGTCATGTTGCAGACAATTTTGCACAATTAGCTAAATGTGTATCAAGTCTTGCTCTTCGTGCTCTAGCAAAATTATTAGTTATGATGGCGCTATGAGGTCATAACAGAATCTAAAAACAAGTAGTCAAAGGAAAGGGAATATAAAAGAAGAACATCCCGTGGAAAGGGAGAAAAGAAAATTTAAACCACACTACACTATACTAATGTTTGGAATGGGCAGGGGTTTTTATATCGGAATCTATCAATATTATTAGTATTTATTAGAAAATATATACTAAAAACCGAAAAATCTTATTACTGCAGAACTGTTAAATAATTTGCTTACTACTGTAAAACATTTTGTGTAGAAATAAATGAATTTTAAATATTTCCAACATGAGCCTCAGCTGTGGTGTTTCCATATAGTTCCCACATTGCCCACCAGACAATCCAATTATAGCCACTCATTGCTGGGCATTATTGTTAATTGAACTAAATTTATCAATTAAGAAGTTTTGTCATTAAAAACAAGGATCTAAGTCAATGAAGGACAATATCTAAAACAAATAAAAACAAACAACAATAAAACTTAAACATTTGTTTGAGCTTCCTTTTTTCGAAAAACCACCAAAAAGTATTTCAAAGAATTATAAAGTACTGAAGACAATATCTCAAAATAATTCCTAATGTCGTTTTTATTTTACATAAACACCCAGGAATTGGAAAATTTTATTTTTTATTTAGATATTTATCCTTGTGGCCATCATTTATGTATGCACTGAGAATGGTATCATTGTCGTCAGCATCATCGTAAAAAAGTTTCAATTTTCTCCTGCCACTTCTGGACAAATATTTAACGCATAATTGCACAAAATATTTTTTTTCCAGTTTGGCTATAATTAAAGCAAATAATACCACCACAAACAAAAAAATAAATTGAGAATGAGTTTTTGTGACCAACAACAACAACAAGGAGATACCCACGCAAGGCCACATAGGGCTCATGAAAAAAAAAAAACGTTGAAAACAACAAATTGAAAAGTGAAAAACAAAGAAAATAAACGAGGGCGTATTACTTCATTTTCCCCCATTTAGCCACAATACCAATCAATAAGGACGAAGTTATTTTTGGTGGTTTTTGTTTTTTTTCTTCTAGTATACATAAGTCCCCCAATGGAATTCAATTGCCACTGCAGATGCTGGATTTTTTAAACTTGTTTTTTTTTTCTTCTCCAATCATCTCCCACCCCAAACAAAAACCAGCGGGGAGAGTTTTTTTGGTGAAAACCAATAAACTTTGTTGAAATGAATATGGCTTAGAGGAGAGCATATTTCCATGGTTGATAAACGGAATTTTCCTTTAATAAAAAAACTGAAATCTAGTTTTTGAAAAAAAAATAAAAAATAAAGAAAATGTTTTGTTTTTTTTCAGGTTAAAATTCTGATTTCAATTTAGGAATAAAAAAAGCATATGACATATTTTTAAAAAATTAAAAAAAATCTCAAGGTAGAACACATTCTTCATAACTTCTGGTTGGTTTCTTTATGATATTATTTTTTTTCTAACTGGCAACATTGCCTTTCCCTCTCCTTCTCAATGACAACAATCCTAAAACAAACAATAGATATTAAAATTTGTTTTGGTGGGCATTATTCTCCTGGCAAGAGGGCTTCCGTAACAATTGATATGTAAATAAAATATTATTTAACATATTTTATTTTCTTTCCTTTGTTTTCCTTCCTTCTCTTTGCGCCACAAAACTCATGAAATATTCATAATTTTAAATTATATGCAAGGCAAAAGAAAAAAGAAAACGAAACACCGAAAAAAATTGCGAACAAAAGAAAAGGACATTTTTGTTCTAAAATATATGCATGTTGCTGGAGTATTTTAGCCTTAAGATATGGTAACCGCTAAAGAAAGGAGACTGCTACTACAAATTACTGTTATTTTCCCCTTTTTTCTCCTCCAAAACCGAAGAGGCTCGGCAAAGTTGTTACAAAAGGCCCCCTAAGGGCCATAACAGAAAAAAAACAAAAAAAAAATACTAAAATTGTTTAAAACAAAATTATTTCGACAACTCAACAACTTGATGAAAAATGAAACCCAACCAAAAATGTTTTTTTTTTTGTAAAGCAGCAAAGAAAATTTGGAAGAAATGTCTAACAAATTTTTATGAGTTTTTTTTAACGACAAGAATTTTGTAGATATTTTACAAAACAACAACACCGTTATGTGGCCCATGAAAATAAAACGTGAACCTGATAATGTTCCATGTGGGAAAAATAAAGTACAAAAATTACCTGTTTGTTTTTCAGCAGCCTTAAGTGTATAACCCTCTAAAAGGACGGGTTCACTACGTCCCCGCACATTAACGGCATACATAAACATTTTGAAAAATCGTCCCGAATCCAAACCGTTGACACTTATTATCGGATATTTAGATGATATGTTGGCCTGCAGTGTGGCCGTTTGTTGATCGAATATTTCGAGAAGGAACCATTGTCGCAGACCGCCATCGAAACCTGGAAAATAATAGAATGTGAACAAATTATTGTCTATTTGAAAATAAAACAAGAAATTATAGAAAAAATAAATTTATAAATATTAACAAATAAAAAGGACCTTGAGGTCGAATTAATAATATCTTCTATCATGAGGCTGATATTCAAAATATCTAAAGTCTATATTTATATGAGAGCTACGATATGGTAAATTGTTGCGAGAATAAATATAAAAATCGAAAAATAGGAGGCATATTTGGGCTAAGACCTTCAAAAATCCGAACATATCGTGAGAAAATATATCTGCAAATCGAGAAATTCCTTCATAAGAGGGCTTTAGCAACACACGGACAAATATTGATTGTTTTCGGTATTAAGAGTTGTCGCCCAAAGAGAACCCAAAGATCCAATTCGTTGTGGAAAACATGAGAACTAATATACTGAAAATTGGGAATTTTGATATGGTGACTAAACCAAAAAAGGCCGAACTTGTTATACCCTCCGCCAAGAGGTTGACATTCAAAATATCAAAAATCTAACGCTAAATTTATATAAGAGCTATTATATGGTAAATGTACCCCAAGAGAAATCAAAATAACAAAACAAAATAGGCTGAAAAATTCGAAAATACCACGTGGCAGTTCAGGAATATATCTGAAATTCTCAAAAAAATGGGACCAATGATCAATGATAACCTAAAAATCTCATTCGGTGGAAGAACCAAAATTGGGTGTACCTTGGTACAGCGGCTATACCAAAAAATGAGTCGTTATTCATTATTTTTGGTAGTAAGATTGACCACCAAACCAGTTTGGTTTGAATTTTTGATCAGACTCTCCAAAATACCGAAACTGTCATAAAAAGTGGACCAAATTTGTTCAGTCTTTATTAAACCCAAAGTACGGCCGCCTGTCCGAATCTTCCGTTTATGGGGGCTCCTAAGAGAAAATTCATGTTATTGTAGCACCTTGCCAATACCGAAAATTTGAAAAATTTACAAGAAATCTCCTTCAATCTAAATATACCTGCCCATTTATTATTTTAATGTATCAAACCCATCCTAGAATCATTTTGATTATACTTCCATTATAAGTATAGAATAACGTCCATCAATGTTTATATTAAACACCATATATGTATGAATAATTATACGTTACAATATCATATATTCAAAGTGTTGTACCGACGATACCGGTTGCGTGTGACTTTTTTTCATTATTGCTTTTCTATTTAAATTCTCTTGCGCAAACACACATCAATGCAGCTGAGTATTGAATATATTTTCCATATTTTCAATACACATCCTGTTGTCTATGACAAAAACCTCGCCCTCCCCCATTCTACTGAATTGAATTGCTAAATGTCCACTGATAGCCCGGTGTGATGACAGTGTACGATAATGGAAACAATATGTAGACACCTCAAACCAACATATTTAACATTTGAAGTGACCTTTCTTTGTGCTGGTCTTCTTCACACTATAAGACGAAAAAACAAACAAAAACGACAACAACAATGGCAACAATTTCAGTCATTGTTCTCAACACAAACAAAAAACAACGAACATACTACTCCTGTGTGGCAGAAGCCACACACTCACGCACACAAAAGAAAATGTCAACTATAATGTATTTCACACACACACATAAACACATTCACACGGCACGGCACGGCACCACACATAAATACATTGAGTCAAGTGAAGAGAACAGAACGGAAATTGAGGAAAACTCTTGAATTGAATACACTGTTGATTGGCATTTTCTATCATGCAATCAATTTCAGTTTGCCATTGTTATTTACTTGAGCGTTTTCTTTTTTCTTATAGTAACACCAACATGAGACTTCAATTTGTGTGTGTGTGTGTGTTTATGTTTGTTACGTTGGTTCAAGAAAAACTTGAATTGTAATAAGTTAACACGTGAATGCATACAACATTGTTGTATTAATAAATTTCTATTGTATTGGTGTTGGAATTTTAATAGAATGTCAGATATGGCAATTTTTTTGGGTTCCAGTTATATATGAAAAAAAAATAATATTTTAAGAAAACACACAACAAAAAACATATCAGGTGAGGCAGCTGATATGCAATGAACAACAAGTGACCCATATTTTTGTTGATAAAAAAAATATAATAATAAAATAACTAGTTACGCTCTTCATTTTGATGTAATCTGACAAAAATATGTATGTGAGCTATGAAGAAAGACTACTTTGTCTTCTAAGGAAGAATATGCCCCAAGACACCATCTGGAAGCAGACTACCAGTTATTATGTTTGTGAAAAAAGGAATAAAACCTCCAAGTTTTCTGAATTATTGAAATTGGAGAAAAACCGTTGAAATTAAGATCTAGCTCCTATATATATTTCTATCCGATTTGCACCAAACATCCATTATTTGTCCGATTGAAATAACATTTTGCAAAGAGCACTTAATAGAGGCTAGAATGAGGTGTATTAAGATTTTTTAAATCGGTTGAGATTCACATTCCTATCGGGTTAGATTTAGATTAGTTTCCCTGCCGTCTATGGGTCATTCCCGAATATATGTACACTAATCTCTGGCTGCTATTGACATATCTATGGCGGCTATGGAGTCTATGGGGCAATAGAAGAATGTCAGGCGAGTCTATGGGGCCATAGATGAGTGTCAGGCGAGTCTATGGGGCCATAGATGAGTGTCAGGAGAGTCTATGGGGCCATAGATGAGTGTCATGAGGGTCTATGGGGCCAAAGATGAGTGTCAGGAGAGTCTATAGGGCCATAGATGAGTGTCAGGAGAGTCTATGGGGCCATAGATGAGTGTCAGGCGAGTCTATGGGGCCATAGATGAGTGTCAGGCGAGTCTATGGGGCCATAGATGAGTGTCAGGCGAGTCTATGGGGCCATAGATGAGTGTCAGGCGAGTCTATGGGGCCATAGATGAGTGTCAGGCGAGTCTATGGGGCCATAGATGAGTGTCAGGCGAGTCTATGGGGCCATAGATGAGTGTCAGGCGAGTCTATGGGGCCATAGATGAGTGTCAGGCGAGTCTATGTTGCCATAGATGAGTGTCAGGCGAGTCTATGTTGCCATAGATGAGTGTCAGGCGAGTCTATGGGGCCATAGATGAGTGTCAGGCGAGTCTATGTTGCCATAGATGAGTGTCAGGCGAGTCTATGTTGCCATAGATGAGTGTCAGGCGAGTCTATGTTGCCATAGATGAGTGTCAGGCGAGTCTATGTTGCCATAGATGAGTATCAGATACGCCTCACAATCATATGTGACGTGATTCGCCGGCCCCATGGACTTGTCTTACAGCCGTCTATAGACAAAAGTACTTGCTCCACAGTCGAATATGTCCCATAGATTCATCCGGCAATCATCTGAGGCCCCAAACACCCCTAACAACCATTTATGACATACACAGCCAAAAACAAAGAGTCAGTATCCCCATCATAAAGAATTTTAAGATTTCATAACCTCCCTTAGAAGTTGCCCAGGTGCTAGAGGGTTTGTATGAAACTAAAATTAGTACCCTAAACCTACATATTTTTATAAAATCATATATATTTTTTAACAGCACAGATATATATGTTTGAGTGTATATATAGATTTTTGTATACATAACTACGTATATTTGCCATTTTTATTTTATCCATGTTTATTTATTTTTCCAATTCTAGGTCTTTATAATCAATTCAATTTTGAAAAATAATTCTCAACATCTATTGTAGTTCATTGTATGTAGGTGGATGTGTGCGTGCGTGTGTGTTTATTTTCTTTAGCAATTTTAATTGACTTCAGTTCTTCTTTATAAATATAAATGAAAAATAAAATTCGAAATAATTTTCTATTCATTGAAATAATAACAAAAAATAAAAATAGAAATGAAACATCTGATGACTTAAACGAATTTTTTTTTCTATGATTTGTATGCTGTCAATAATGCATGTAGATTGAAGGCAGTGTGGACATGTCCTCTCCCAAATCGTTCATATTTTAGTATATGGAAAAATCCCAACTATGTCCTTCCTCCTAAATGAAATTAAAATATTTATATCTGTGTAATCAATGGTAGTGAATGCTCAACATAGACCCACATATGTAAATCGGTATTATGGCAACAAAAATTTTAAAATTTGTTATAAATATTTTCGTTACTATTTGGATATGTTTTTTTCTTCTTCTAAATTTTCAAATAAATTTTTCTATGAATATTTACTAGTACAAATTGAAGTTGATTAGAGACTTCAATGTGGATGAAGCTAAAGATAAAGCAAATACTTTGTAATTATTTTTGAAGAAAAGCGAATTATTTAAATCTGGAAATATTCTCAATTAAAGTGATTGGGTTATGTTTAAGGGTATTTTTTATGAAAAATATAAATAAAAACAAATATATGGGTAATAAGTAAGAAATTTTAAATGGAACATGTAAAAATTTTGTTCAATTTTGTATAGTGTCCAATATAAGCAGAACATACAAAAAACCTATTATTGATTCGAATTTTTATTGGAGGCTATGTAATGGTAAATTGCTGCCAGCAGAGAGCAAATTATTATTATCAAACTATGGACACTCAGGATTGAAACTTGGACAAAGACCTTTAAAATTACGATTCTTCGGCTTTTTGGATTTACTGAAAAAATTTTAATGTTGGAGGTTTTCCTCTATAAATGACCTAGAGGTCTTCTTCCACAGATGACCTAGATGTCTTCTTCCACAGATGACCTAGAGGTCTTCTTCCACATATGACCTAGAGGTCTTCTTTCACAGATGACCTAAAGGCCTTCTATCATATACGCCGGAAAGTTGTTGTGCCATACAGACCTAGATGTCTTCATCTGCTGAAGAGAGAGATGTGGGATTTATGTAGAAATCCCACATCTCTATTACCTATTACAAATTCTATTCAAAATAAATCTTTTTCTCTCCATATGTTTCTCTGAACTTACCTTCAATGCAATAGACCTCCAATGAATCCGATGTTTGATTGACAACCGTACAATTGGATGGCATTTCAGGTTTACCAGCTGCTATTAAATGAAATACACAGGGTTCCTTCTGTTGGCCCACATTGTTATCGGCCCAACACATAATGGTGCCAAAGTCCATTTCCTGTAACAATATCAAGAGAGAAAAAAACACCAATATTGTAAATATGAGACTCAGTCAACGGGAGATCGACAAGGAAACAAATCAGAAAGGAAGTTAGGAGAATAAAAGGAAACAAGTGTCACTAACTGAATGAAATACGGTATACATGAGTGATAATAACAATAAATGTTTTTTGTTGTTGTGTACGACAAAAAATAAGTACGCACAAACACACACACACACATGCATTGTAAGTCAAACCGAAAAAAATCATTAAATTCAGTTCCTTTTTTGCGGACAACGCAGCTGGGCTGGCTGGTTGGTTGTTCGGTTGTTACTACCATTACCACAAATTTGCTCTTCTGGAACTGCACTTTGTCCTCTACCGCCAGCCACACTGTAGCCACAAAACTTCGTCCAAGTACAAAAATGTTTGGGCATTATTTTATGTTGTGTAATTATATTATTAAAGTTTAAAATAAAAAAAAAAAAACAACAACGAAACCAACAACTACAACGACGAAAACAAAATTTTTCGGCTTTTACAGAACTTTGAATTGCTGTTATTAAAGTTAGTGAATAGCCGCATCACAAAAGTTGCCAAACTATGATGAGTGGATTTTGGGCCGCACACACACATACACACAGCCATACACGGCAAGTATTTGCAAGTTTTTTTTTTTTTTTTTTTGTTTTTTGAGCACTTGACAAAATACAATTTTGACATGGCCAACACCACAAAGTGTAAAAATTTTGTACTGTAATTGTCGTTGTATGTGAAGGAAGTAAATTAAAAATTAAAAACATAAAATATGGGTCAAAAATGTTGATGGGTGTGTGGGCGTAGTTTAGTTTTTTTTGCTGTTGTTGCGTTGGCGTTGCTCTCTTGGCTTTGGGGTTTTGGCTTGTTGTTAAGATATAATTATTTGAAAATAAAGTTCATATTTTGTGGTCTGTGCAGAAGTTTCTTCAAGGCAGGGAGGTAAATATTCCCTAGAGATATTTATGAATACCTTTAATAATTGAAACGAAAATTAAAAATAAATAAATTTCAAAAAAGGAGAAATTTTAAAATTAATTGTTTTTCCATATCCAACAAGCGAGTGGATGTTACTTAATGTTTAAATGATCTATTCGTGGATATTCACAAAAATTTCAAAAGCAAACAGAGGCGTACAATTAATAAAATATATTTTTGGTGGATATTTTTACAAATATTTATTCAGCACTAATAGAAACAGAGTTTTTTTAAAAAGGTAATTTTAATATATATTTAAGAAATATATATTTTTAAACGAACATGTTTGAGCTCTAAAATAATGTGTGTTTTTTCAAAAACGAGTAAAATGGAACTTTTAAACATATAAAATAGTCTGAATTTCTTAAGAAAATTTTTAGCTTCAATAGACGTTAATAACGTGCCCTAACCCGAAATAATAATTTTTTAGCATATAAATGATTAATCGATTTATAGTTTTTGAGAGCCTCAAAATTTATGAATTTTATAATAATTAAAAAAAGAACTGAATTTTTTTCACAAAAAAAAGTAAAGTCGGACGGGGCCCACTATATGATACCCTTCACCACTTTGGGTATATTCAACAGCTGAACCCTAACAGAAGTAGCATTTAAAGGACCAGTAAAAGGAAATTGGAACCATAAACAAGTCATTCTGCAACCTATACTAAATTTGTCATTTGTTCAGATATAGAGTAGCTTCTTACAATGGGACAAAATTATGTCCCCGTTCATTATTTGGATAAATATCTGATAAACATGAGGAATTTGGTGCACCATTTACATTTAATCGGACGAAAATATATATGGGAGCTATATCTAAATATGAACCGACTTTCAGAAAACTTCAGACACATCATTCTAGACCTAATTCATTAGGCTATGCAAAATTTCCAGCAAATGGAATGATATGTATTGACTTTGGTGCACCGTTTACATTAAATCGGAGGAATATATATATATATATATATATATATGTGAGATATATCTAAATGTGAACCGATTTCCTCGAAATTTAACACATATCACTCTAGACTTTATTAAGTACGCCATGCCAAATTTCGTGCAAATCGAAAGGTATAGAGGGTGGAGCATTTACATAAAATCGGACGAAACTATATATGGGAGCTATACTTAAATCTGAACCGATTTTCAGGAAACTTAACACACATCATTCTAGTCCTAATTCAGAACTTAATGCTAAATTTCATGCACATCGAAAAATATATATAGTGACTTCGGGGCCCCATTTACCTTAAATCGGACGAAACTATATACGGGAGCTATATCTAAATCTGAACCGATTTTCTTCAATTTCAATAGGGTTCGTCCTTAGGCCAAATAAATGAGCTGTGCCAAATTTCATACAAATCGGATCATAAATATGACATGAACGTTGTTAATAAAAATACATGGACGGACGGACAGACGAACGGACATGCGTAAATTGACTCAGAAAGTGATTCTATGCATATTCTCAAAAGTAACCATGGGTATATCTCGATTCCTCTTGCCTGTAACAAACATATGCACAAAGGCATAATACCCTGTACCACAGTGTTGTGAAGTATAAAAAAAATAAAAAATAAATAAAACTCAAACAAAGCGCGGATTATTAATTTTTTTCAAACACCAAAATAACCGTATAGTGTTTAGAAACAATTTTTTGATCCAGGAATATTTTTTTACTTCTAAGAAAAGTGTAGAAATTTAAGAAAATATTTTTTCAGTCCTAACATATGCGTAGATTCTTTAAATATTCTTTTCGAATCCGGGTTCGTAACTCTACAGTTGCCTAGTAGATGTTTTTCGAGGCCTAACAGAAGCGTAGATTTTTCAAAGATTATTTTTACGAGCCTTAATAGAAGAGTTGATTTTTTCAAGGAATATTTTTTTGAGTCCTAACAGAGACGTAGTTTTTTAAGAATTTTTATTCGACACCTTCCAGAAGCGTAAATCATTAACATAATTTTTTTGGGACCTTACAGATGCGTCGAATTTTTAAAGAATTTTTTATGGGGCCTAAGGAAAGCGTACATTTAAAAAAGATTTTTTGATACCATACAGAAGCTTATATTTTTAAAAGAATTTATTACTATTATTATTTTTTTTTTTTGTTTTGACCTTATAGAAGTGTAGATTTATTTAAAGAATTGTCTTTCAAGACATTACAGACGTGTATGTTTATTTTAGAAGTTTTCGAGAGACATTACAGAGATGTATACATTTTTCAATTCGATTTTTGAAAGAACATTTTCAGCACCTTAGAGAAGTGTAAATTTAGTTTAATTTTTTTTACCTTACAGAAGCGTAGATATTTTAAAGATTTTTTCGGGATCTTACAGAAACGTTGCTTTTTTAAAGATTTTTTTTAGATTTTCCAGAACCTTATAGAACAGAAGCGTAGATTTTTCAAAGAATACTTTTTCAAGTCCTAAATATGTCTTTTTCTGCAACACACTAAAAAGCCATTCTTTCTCTTTAATTTCAAATCGAATTTCAATCACAAATTCTTCAGTTAAATATTTGAACATAAGCAATTAATTTTCGAGACAGAAAACTACAAAACAAACATCTATATATTGTTAGAAATTTTCTTAACATGTTTTGTTTCACGTGTCAATTTACAAGAGAAAAAAAGGAAGAAGAAGAAAGAAAACTTTTATTTCACATATCACTATTCGGGAAACCAAAAAACTTTGTCTGGAATTTGTGTGTGTATGTGTGGCACCGACCAGAACAATACCAGAACACAAAGTTAATAAGATCTACTTGAAAAAAAAAAAACTAAAGAAATAAACGAACGAATGAACACTAAAACTTATTGACAGTTTAACAATCAATCATTTTGACAATTGCTTGTCGAACAGTATTTTTAATGAGTAAGTGTTAGTGGCACACACAAACACTTACATATATATATGATTTCACACATGCTTTAGTGTATAAGTGTGGGAGTGTGTGGTCTTCACTAAATCTAAAACTCATGCCATTCATGTTAGTAGGACCACAAATGGAAAACTCCTGGCAACAACAACATTTCTTCGCTTCCACTCTCTTGGTTTTGCAAACAATGCAAGTTTAGAAAGTCTTTTATGTGTGTGTGTGTTGTTGGGTGGTAGGTAGAACATGTTATAGCTTCTAAAGTTTCACTGATGTTTAGATCCGCTGCCATATTTTGCCATGTTTTATTTGAACTTCCGCTGTGCCGCATTACATGACATGATTATAAATAGATATTGATTGTTTCACAATCCAATGCCATTAATGAAGGAAGAGAACGAAACTGAATGAGTCTGTGTGTGAGAGCCATGATTGAAAGGACATTGATTCCGCATTCCAACGACATTCTTTAGAAAATAACTTTTTTTTGGTGGGGGGTCATAGCCATTATGTTGATACGGACCGACAACGACTACAACGATGATGATGATGGCGGTGCTGCATTGTAATGCTAATTAAATAATGTTGTATGTCAAAACAACAAAAGCATGTTAAACTCACACATATTGGAATTTATTTCCCGTATGCTATAACGATGTAATAAGGGGTGGGGTTTTTGTAATAATGGTGTGGAGCATATCGTCATTGAAAGCTCACATATGTTCTTTAGAGAAATAAATAAATTAAAAATCATGCGGCAGGGCTTAATAGCTGGTGGGAGGTATTTTAAGTTTGGGAAGCAACCATTTCAGGAAATTGTAATTATTTTAAATTTGTATAAAATGAATTTAATACAAACATTTCTTTTACAAGGTTCATGTTGACTTTGACAAATAGGGTGTACAATTCTTAAATTACTTTAACTGTCGGACTCAATATTAACATGATATTAAAGAGCCCAAAAAGGTTTAAATTTATAAAAGGCACAGTGGTCTTAGACGTTTAAAAATATGTTGATGCCAATCATTAGTGTAGCTTAAAATCTCTTTAAAAATATCCTGAGATTCTGCCATTCTCCCTCTATCCATCTCTGAGGAAAACATGTGCAATATGTGAGTGTA